CATGCCTTCTTTCAATATTTTATATAAATTTAAAACATTAAAAATTAACTTTCATTTGGCATTTGTTTTAATGTAGAGACAAGGCCTTTTCTTTGATCATAGATCTACTGTTTCTTACATAAACCACTATAATACATTGTTTATGATTTCCAATGCTGGTTTCTTTTAAGTGTATTAAGAACTGGAATGTAGGAGTCTTACTCTCAAGTGGGTTCAGTATTACCTCCAGCTAATGACCATTGCGGCTCTGCCTAGCTCTACATTTGTGATATGAGGCAAAGCAGTCATACACTCGCAAAAAGATGTCATGTTTTTTTATGTTGACATCCAAAAGCACTTCAGAAATACAACCTACCCCCGACCAATTGTGCACATTATCTTAATAGTTGTACAGTATATTCTTGAAATCTGCCTTTCCCTGGATGATGAGATTACAGTTGAGTCATTCAGGAAATTATTGAAGAGAACAAAAAAGTGTTGAGAACAGAGCAAAAATAAAAACATTTTCAATGTGAAACATCATGGGTGAAGAACACTGGCAAAGTAGAAGTTTCTCAAAATTGTGTTGTGTGAGAAAGTTTTCCGTGTTTTGAATCTACTCCACATTTCAAGAATCCCTAAGCAGTTATGCATTCCAGTGATACAGAATTTTATTTTAAAATAAGTTGACTATATTTTAGTAGGTAGATATGTATGTCTCTCTCATTTTATGTTAATATATCAAACAAGAATCTCATTTTCTAATCTGTTATGAAAAAACAAACCTCTTTCTGAAGTCTTCTGTAAAGATGCTATAAATCTCAAAATGTCATATCTTGCTCCGTTTAGAGAATGACTAAGACTGAGAATAGGAAAGAGCAGAAAGAAATAATGCAAAATGCAACCCCGTAGAATTTCCTCTGCCCATACTACAGAAGAATGGCATGGGGGAGGCTATAGATTCTGGCAGGAGCTGCTGGAATCCTTTGAAAAGTAAAGATCGAATCAGTATGGGGTCATCTGAAACAAATAATGCATTGGGAGGAAACTCCAGAAGCCTCTGAACTGTTCAGAAAACTCACAGTGGGTTCAGAAAAGGAGAGACAGAGTGGGGACAAAAAGGGAGGGGGAGATAAGAGAACAATGGCTGTGGAAAGCAAAGTTCAATAGGAATTGTCAGTACCCAGCCGGCTGGCAGCTATCAGAATCCAACCCATTGGGGAAAGAAGATGTCATTCCATTGTAAGCTACACAGAAAGGGGTGTGGAGGAAATATTGTTTCCAGAATCCTCTGGGCTTAAAGCCCGGAGCCAAGCAAAGAGAACAATACAAATAATTAAGGGAGTAGTGGAATTAACTTACAGGGAATTCTTTCTACTTTTCTTCACCTAGTGAGATCAAGTGTAGTATTAATTTCACATCAGATAGGTCTTCTATCAGGGAACTGTATCCTATTCTGGCAAAAGATGATCTAGTGGATTTTTTTTTCCATTCCCAACTTGGAGGATGTAACAAATTATATATAGCTTGGGAAAGTGATGCACCAGGTCTGCTGCATCAGGGGCATATTTTTAAATCTCTAAAATGAATAAACCTCAAGGAGGGAAAAGAAATACAAAGGATTGCATTACAAAAGGAAAAAAAGAGACTGCTTCATCTGCATTTACATAGAATCTGTGGGGAGAAGGAAGCCTAACCTAATATCAACTCTAGGTCATTGATGTTAAACATTTTCTGTTTGTTTATTCTTTCATAAAAGTTTAGCTTGTATTTTAAGCCTATTTTGAGTAGCAAATACCATACTCAATTTGTAGGTAGAAAAATTAGTCGCTGAGAAAGTATTTCATTTGTGTTTAAACACAGAGTAAGTCAGTGAAAGAGACAAGATATGACCCAATTTTCTGGCCAATGGAATAAAAACCGAGGGCTACAGATCTACATATTTTTATCAAATTCAAATTATAAGGAATTTTTCATATGGCTATAATTTATTCTACGACTTGTCACTCAAAGATTACTGCCCTACAATTATACTAATGAAACATCTCTAATCGTCTTGTTAATAGTATAATGCATGCCTCAATTGACAAAGCACGCCTCTTATACTCCCTTATTGGTGCACATTATGATTGAATGTTCGACATATTTTCAGGCTGCTTTGGTTCCTGTCAATATCTGCTGTCAAAAAAAAAAAAAAAAAAAAAAAAACTCCATTTAGGTTTTTCTGATTTCTTGAGTGATGCTTTTAAAGAAGAAAAAGTGTCAAGTCGGTGAGTTAATGGCTCATTTTTCAATGTGGCTTTTCTTTGGTATCTATTATGAAATTATCCATTTTATGTGCCCCTTTTCAAAGGCCACTCTCAAAGTGTAAGTCTCCAATATCAGAGCTGCTTTAGAGAATTTTAGAGCTGGTGAGAGCTATTTTTGGCCACGTGAAAAGAGTTCTTTGGAGACGGGTTTGAGAGAGTGAGAAGGTCTGTCCCTAAAGTCAGGCAGCTTCAATTTGGAATCTTGCCTTTTCCTGGAACTATATGTACGACCTTGAGAGAATTAGCCTCTCCGAGGATTCATTTCTTCATCAGTAAAATGAAGATGATAACACTAACCTCAAAAGTTTGTTGTGAGGATGCAGGTATTTAAACCCTCCATCTCTGCCTGCTTTGCACTGTATATATTCTTACAGTACTTCATTTGAAGGAAGGAAGGGTTCCCTGGTTAAGACGTTTGAAAACCATTGACACAGCCTAACATTCATATTACAAATGGGGACAATGAGACCCAGAGCAGTTGTTACTTTTTCAAGCACAGATAACTTGTGGCAACTGCTAGCATTAGGCTCTTTTCACTACTGTAAGCCACCCATGAAACATGGAGAGGCCACATGGGGGCGCATCACTAAAATTAATCTCCAAACAGGAAAAGTAGTCATCTCATAACATGCCCTTCACAATATTATATTATTCTGGATGACCTTTACATGTCCCCTTACTAAAAACTACAATCTACTATAGAGCATATATACTTGATTAAATGAGTTAATTTAGCAATCAAGTCTTTCAGAAACAATATGATAACTTGAGCTCACCATTAGGAAGATGCCCCCTGTAGATGCTTAATAAATGGGTTGGGGTAGGGACAATTTAATTAAACTTTTAACTGGTTAACTTTTTCCCCAAATAATCCCTATATTGATTTTTCCCCTCTTTCATCCAAACTGTAGTGATGGAAATAGTCTATTGGTCCAATATGGATTATCTTCTGTATTATTTACACTGTCTTGATCTTCTTTATTCAGGCCCCTATGATATTTCATTCAATCTAAGACGCTGTCAATTGTAAAATACCATTATTTTACATCCTGCCAAAATAAAGCAAATGTGCCAACCTAAATTGTAGGACACTGCTGATTGTAAGACACATTCTGACTAGAGATATTAAAAGAGATGCATCTTGGAATTCATGAAGTATGGCTCCATATTTGCCACCATATAAGACAAATCTTTCTCCTCTCTTATGCTCCCTCCTCCTCCCACTCTAGGCCACCTGGTATTTCCATTACACGTAAGAATAGCATAGAAAGCTCAGCCTTAGGTTTTTAAAATGTTTTTCTCTAAAGTTGTGCTGGGTTTATATTTTAACATATGTGGTACATACTGATTAAAAATACTCCTTGGCTTGTTGGTACTAGGAATGGTTCCACAATGATGTACCTCTCTGGTTACTTTCCACGAATACTTTGGATCTATTTCTTTCTGTGGTATCAGCATTATTCTAGTAAGGATGGGGTGTTTTAAAGCTCCTGGGTAGGAAAAGTCACCTCCTGCTTTGCTCCTGAAGGGAGCACAACACAGACTTGCCATGTTGCATGAACATGGACACTGGATGCTTCCTGTTTCATAGGGTTAATCATTCCCCTGGCAACAGAGCTTGTACCAGGCAGTTCCAAATGGGACTTACCACACTTCCTAATAACTTCCTTTGGTGTGGTGCCAAAATCATACAATCCATGTCATAAGATAAAAAAATATTTTGCTCCCTTTGTTCAGGCATCATTTACATGCATAACATCAAAACGAAATTTCAACTTTTCAAGCCCACATATCCAATTACTCATAAGGCAACACTGTATCTTCAGTGGAAAAATATTGTATTCTACTTTAAAATAGTATTTGATGGTTGTTTTACGTGAGTGATAATACTGGTTAAAGACATTTTTGATCTGCATTACATATTTTCACCATTTAACATCAAATAAGTATGGGAAAAATTCAAATTTACACATTATCTCACCAAGTTCAAATTACAGTGTCAATATATCCCTACCTAATTTAATGTTTAGAGGATGTCATGTAGGTATTTTATGTTTACCACTGATGGAGATTAGTATGTTATCAACATAAAAGAGAAGAGTCAATGAGTGGTGATACAAAGGGAGCTTGGCCAAGCACCCTCTTTACTCCTTACTGACCCACACAAGTACATGTTGGGAAAAAGGTAGAAGAGTGTCAATTTCAGAGACTAAAGCAATAAAGTGCAGGACATTATGGAAAGGAGGAGGTAGCTTAGGATGTGTAAATGTCTCCCCTCCCACGTGGTAAATTTGAAGGGACTGGAAGGAGGGCTAAGGTGTGGGATGACTTATGCAGATGCTCTTTCCTCCTTGCCTGTCATTATATGTTCCCTCCTTATCCCCAAGAGAGAAAAATAATATGCACCTCAGGAGGGCAACAGCCAGAACAAACTGTCTTCCAATTCTTCCATCCAACAAGAAATTGTAAAATCACTGCACAGACCTAAGCATGTGTAATAAATGAAATCTGTAATAAATGTAATCTGTAATAAATGGAAGTCAAATTTTCCTTTGCATATTTTTATGCTGTCATTACAGCAATTTTCCTGAGATAAAAAGCTTTGAAGATGTACTTTTCAGATGCATTTTTCTTCACAATGATTACTGTCTCAGAATGGCATCGCAATTTCTTACTTTCCTTGAGCTAAACCTACCCTGTTTTCTCTTTTAGGCAAATATCAATATTCCAATGGGAGCCTTTCGACCAGGAGCAGGTCAACCCCCCAGAAGAAAAGAATGTATTCCTGAAGTGGAGGAGGTGAGGAAACCTCAGCTCTCAGAACACAGCAATGTTTTTCCTTTCTAAAATCTTCACCAGAGGGGGCAGAGGCAAGGCAAGGGCTGGCTCTCCAGGACAAGGGAGGGGGCAAATGACTGTGTGTCAAGGAATCACATACAGTATGTACGTTTCTTTAGTTGTCTTGCTTAGTCCGCCCTGAAACGCACTGCCTCCTCCCTTCCCTTCAGCCAAATTTAAGTACTGTACCTGGCACCATTATTTGAAGGTACTGAGTTTAACTTCCAGTCTGTTGATTGACTGATTATTTGATTGATTGATTGATTGTGTGTATGCATGTGTGTGTGTGCACATGTGTGTGGTGGGGAGGATAAAGTCTCTGATAAGTTTTTGGTCCAGCAGTAGTCACTAGATTGGCAAGTTTTCACTTGGGATCATTTATCCAACTGAGCAGGATGTAATAATATTTAGTAGAGCTTCTGATAAGTGGGAATGCAGGAAGTAAGCACATTAAATTATTTGAGGATTCAAATAAACAACAAACAAACAAAAACTCAATCTCTAAATGTTTCCTTTGAAAAGGGTACTTTGCAAGGGAGTCTATCAAGCCTCCATTTCTGTATTTTTCCTCTTTCTAATTCTTTACTTCTCCCCCAAAATCAAGTACCTAGTCTGCTAAATTGGAGGCTACAATTAATAATGAATGCCATAAAAAGGGAAGAGTTTCTTCCTCAGATGTTTTTATTTCTTACCCAATTGTAACTTTTCTGCTGAAACCTGGAAGGTCTGATTCTGAAAAAGATAGTGAAGGTTTTGGAACATTTTATCAGCATAAGACATGGAAAATGGAATCAAATAAAGCCACAAGGCACAGCAAACTGTATTTCATCTTTTTAAAAAGGTAAAAAGGCTTTTAAACTTTACCAAGTGACATTTTTGGTATTTGTCCCAAAAGAATATCTATTACCATTTCAAAGGTTCCTAATAAAACTTTGTTCTGCCTGTAACCTTTTTTTCCTGTGAATATTCCTGATGTGGTCCTAAATTAGTGGTTCCAGTCTCCTATCAGTAGAAAGATAATTTTTGAAAGGAGCAGATGGAGTATTTGAGTGATATCATCAAGTGCTGGAATTGTAGCCACTAAGTCACTCTTGATGAATACAAATTTTGAACATATCAGTTGGAAAGACCTGGCCCTACTCTGCTTTTATAGTTACATAATCTCAAGTTCTGGTACTGTTAACTTTGCCATCAAGTTTACTCATGATCATGAGGTCTCCATCTGGGACTTGGGCCAAGCATTTCAGAGTCTGCGTCTGCAAAATAGGATCCCCTCCATTCCTCAGAGGGTCACTGTGAGGGAAGAGGCATGATATAATGGACATAGCATAGCCTAGTAGGTATTCCATAAACTATTTTTCATCACTTGATGTAATTATCCAATTTTCATGAAGCACTCCTGGGCCTATTGTTTTTTGCATGTTGTAAGGAAAAGGCATGGGGAGGTAGAAGGGATGGCGGTGGAATTCTTCTATACCTTCATTTATCTGTAATTAGATTTTCTTTGCTTCCTGTGCTTCCTCTTAAACTGTGTCTGTCACTACCATGGCAATCAGTCGGAAGGTAGTTTGACCCACTTTTCTCACTAAATTGACTGATGTAACAGCTGTTTTGGAGGCTCACATTTCATTTTCCACCTGTGGTACAGATGGCCCCTGGTTCTTCTTTGTACAACTGGTACTTTCCTTCACACAAGTGTCTCAGGGGACTGGGGAAGCACTTTGCTCTCTCTTGCCTTGTATCTAATCTGATGGTTGCAGTGCATTCTAAAATAGGCAAGAACTGATACAGCTTGGTTTGTGAACACCTACTTTATAATTAACCACATATACAAATGGCCAACTAGTATTTTTCATAGGATGGAGAGAGTGATGTATTCACAAAGATACAAAGACCCCAGGGATGTTTCTTTTTTCTTTTTGTCCTTCTTCCTTTTTTTTTTTTTTTTTTTTTTGGAGCAACTTATTGCCCAACAGATGGAGTGTTTCTTGAACTGTACCATACCTTTCTCACAGAGCTCATTGGGCAGGAGGGTGGAGCTAGGGATGGTATTTCTTTACCATAAAAGCAGAAATAAACTCTCAGGATTTGTGGAGTCTTGGGGAGGGAGTGGGATCTAATGATTCAGTCTCTGGCCTGGACCTCAGATTAAGTTTCTTAGGAAGACAACATTGTGAGGGGAGTAGTTAGACAGCTTGGCTTGGCCACAGGGTGGGTTAAGCAGGATTTTGTCAATTAGCTTCAGGCCCCAGCCACATTTTAAGGCATAGTTTGAAAGGGAAAATAAAATGTGGATTTGAAATAACATATACATCCACATTTATTATCATTATCTAGTTTGCAAACTTGGAATTGCTTAATTTTGTAGACTTAAAATTCGTTCATTGCCTAGCTTTGCATGAGGATAGTTACTGTATAGAGATCATAACATACCATCTCTGAACAGAACAGATCACCTCTATCACATTCAGTAGGTTCCTCATCTAAACTCAGAAGGATTTTTGATCCTGACACCCTCTCAGATGTGAAGAGGATGTTCCCCAACAGGAAGCCAGAATGAATCTTTGGCTGTCTGCCAAGGCCTGTGAGCACTGACCCTGTCTTTGGCTCACCTATGGTTCTGGTAAGACATTTGCTCTGCTCACAGAGCTGGAGTACACCTATCTGCTTGGCCCAGCCACAGATGGGCATGTGCCCAACTCTGAGGCCTTACAGCTAAACCTTAATAAACAGGGCTGGTCTTTTGCGTAAGAATCAGCTGCTTGCTTCAAGTGATTTGAAGGGTATTGACAAGCCTCTATTAAGCTTCCCAAATCTCTCTTTTGACTGAAACACTATCATCATTAAGCCACAAAATAGCATGTTGGGATTTTCTGTTAATTATTTCCCTCTACACCTGGCTCCTTTACAAGATGCAAACATTTAATTCTGGTCTAGCCACTTCCTAGCTGTGTGGCCTTGGGGCAAGTTTCTTAGCCCTTCTGTGCCTGAGTCTCCTCAACTGTAAGACAGGGATGATAATAGTACCAGATTTATATGGTTGAGATGAGGATTAAATGAGTTAGTACATGTAACTTAGAACAGTTAACAGTGTGCCGTTATTATTAAATCTTTGGTGTTTGAGCATGAATGAGCAGGTCAGATTGTATTGTCTCACACAGGAGAGTTTAGGGAAAAACTCAGTAGGATATCTGGCAATAATGAGGGAGATGAAGGTGATATCACTTGAATATGCTTCACTATTTTGCCAAGTTTTACAAATACTCTGTGACCCCCAAGGGAAACATTTCCCTTCACAACAGCCATTCCTGAAACTGAGAATGCTGCTGTAGCTGGTAAGGCTTCTTTTACACTCTCTTTATCTAAGCCAAAGAATGTCTTTCATGTCCCTTCTTCATTCAAATATCCACTTACAAAATTAAAAAAGGACTTATTTATTAGCCAAATGGGGCCATCTGGAACCCTGTTTGTTTACGCCTTAACTTACTATAATTCTTACAATTACAAATCCATAAAATAAATGGAATCTGATTCCTGTTATGTGTGTGTGTGTGTGTGTGTCTTTATTTATTTATTTATTTATTTATTTATTTATTATTATTATACTTTAAGTTCTAGGGTACATGTGCATAACGTGCAGGTTTGTTACATATGTATACTTGTGCCATGTTGCTGTGCTGCACCCATCAACTCGTCAGCACCCATCAACTCGTCATTTACATCAGGTATAACTCCCAATGCAATCCCTCCCCCCTCCCCCCTCCCCATGATAGGCCCCGGTGTGTGATGTTCCCCTTCCCGAGTCCAAGTGATCTCATTGTTCAGTTCCCACCTATGAGTGAGAACATGCGGTGTTTGGTTTTCTGTTCTTGTGATAGTTTGCTAAGAATGATGGTTTCCAGCTGCATCCATGTCCCTACAAAGGACACAAACTCATCCTTTTTTATGGCTGCATAGTATTCCATGGTGTATATGTGCCACATTTTCTTAATCCAGTCTGTCACCGATGGACATTTGGGTTGATTCCAAGTCTTTTCTATTGTGAATAGTGCCGCAATAAACATACGTGTGCATGTGTCTTTATAGCAGCATGATTTATAATCTTTTGGGTATATACCCAGTAATGGGATGGCTGGGTCATATGGTACATCTAGTTCTAGATCCTTGAGGAATCGCCATACTGTTTTCCATAATGGTTGAACTAGTTTACAATCCCACCAACAGTGTAAAAGTGTTCCTATTTCTCCACATCCTCTCTAGCACCTGTTGTTTCCTGACTTTTTAATGATCGCCATTCTAACTGGTGTGAGATGGTATCTCATTGTGGTTTTGATTTGCATTTCTCTGATGGCCAGTGATGATGAGCATTTTTTCATGTGTCTGTTGGCTGTATGAATATCTTCTTTTGAGAAATGTCTGTTCATATCCTTTGCCCACTTTTTGATGGGGCTGTGTTTTTTTCTTGTAAATTTGTTTGAGTTCTTTGTAGGTTCTGGATATTAGCCCTTTGTCAGATGAGTAGATTGCAAAAATTTTCTCCCATTCTGTAGGTTGCCTGTTCACTCTGATGGTAGTTTCTTTTCCTGTGCAGAAGCTCTTTAGTTTAATTAGATCCCATTTGTCGATTTTGGCTTTTGCTGCCGTTGCTTTTGGTGTTTTAGACATGAAGTCTTTGCCCATGCCTATGTCCTGAATGGTACTACCTAGGTTTTCCTCTAGGGTTTTTATGGTTTTAGGTCTAACATTTAAGTCTCTAATCCATCTTGAATTAATTTTTGTATAAGGAGTAAGGAAAGGATCCAGTTTCAGCTTTCTACTTATGGCTAGCCAATTTCCCAGCACCATTTATTAAGTAGGGAATCCTTTCCATTTTTCAGCATTTCTCTCAGGTTTGTCAAAGATCAGATGGCTGTGAATTGTGTGGTATTATTTCCCAAGGGACTCTGTTCTGTTCCATTGGTCTATATCTCTGTTTTGGTACCAGTACCATGCTGTTTTGTTTACTGTAGCCTTGTAGTATAGTTTAGGTCATTAGCGTGATGCCTCAGCTTTGTTCTTTTGACTTAGGATTGTCTTGGAATCACAGGCTCTTTTTGGTTCCATATGAACTTTAAAGCAGTTTTCCAATTCTGTGAAGAAACTCATTGGTAGCTTGATGGGGATGGCATTTGAATCTACTCTAAATAATCTTAAGGCAGTATGGCCATTTCACGATATTGGAGTTCTTTATCACAGGCATGAGTATATTCTTCATTGTTTGGAGAATAAAATACCTGGGAATCAAGTTACAAGGGATGTAAAGGACACTCTTTAGGAGAACTACAAACCACTGTCCTGTTGTGTTTTTAAAAGATGAGAAAAGTTTCATTTAAGAAAATGCACCATTAACCCCCTTCTTCCTGAGTCAATATCATGTCTAATTACTAAATATATTAGATTATAATTTCTCATTATATGGCCTTTACAAATCGAGTGGTAAAGTCACACACTGATAAATTAAAGAAACACAATGCATTGAAGTTTTTAATAACTGAGGAAGTACCTATTAAATATTGTCAATCTGCATATATTTCACTTCTTTGAAATTTTGCATAGCATAAACATGTGGCTCAGACATTGGCTTTACAATGTATTAAATGTGCCAATATAGAACATTTGATGTTACAAAGGATTAGTAAATGTGACATCCAGGAACTTAACAGAAGGAATTGGAAACATTTTCTCTTTCTTTGGCACCTACACCCATTAAGATCTACTCAATTGATTCTTCCTATCCATGAGCATGGTATGTTCTTCCATTTGTTTGGAGAATAAAATACCTAGGAATCCAAGTTACAAGGGATGTAAAGGACCTCTTCAAGGAGAACTACAAACCACTGTCCTGTTGTGTTTTTAAAAGATGAGAAAAGTTTCATTTAAGAAAATGCACCATTAACCCCCTTCTTCCTGAGTCAATATCATGTCTAATTACTAAATATATTGAATTATAATTTCTCATTATATATGACTTTACCAAATCGAGTGGTAAAAGTCTTACACTGATAAATTAAAAAACACAATGCATTGAAGTTTTAATAACTTGAGAGGAAGGTACCTATTAAATATTATTAATCTGCATATGTTCACTTCAAAATTTTTGCATATAAACATGTAAGTACAGACATTGGCTTTAATGTGTTAAATGTGCCAATATAGAACATTTTGATGTTACAAAGTTAGTAAATGTGACTTATCCAGGAACTTAACAGAAGGAATTGGAAACATTTTTCTCTTTCATGCTTCCTTATTAAGATCTACTCACCTAACAGCCGTGGGAACATTTATAAGTGAGGAAACATTTTTTATTTCACCACTACACGTATATAAAACACACACACACACACACAGAGCACTTTATAGCCTTGTTAAAAAATTCTTTCCGAAAGCATAGCAAAGAACATTTTGGAATATCTAGTCCTCCAAGTGGATGCTTTATGGTTTTAATTATTGCTTCTAAATCTACATTTATAAGTGATAAATTTGTATGCATGACAAAAACAACAACAACAACAACAACAACAACCAGCTTCTTCTAGGGCTCTGTACACTCACCCAGGGAAACAGTATTTTCCAGATATTTACAGCAGGTATAGTCTACATTGAAATACTTTATCATTTTGTTTGGGTGAAACGTTAGCTATTTCATCAGCACTGTACCAGATCTAAAGAAAATGACTGTAGGAAAAGCCATTAGCCCTTAGTAGAAGAATAGCACCTCAATATTTTATGTCTACTCATCCCCTCCGATAAACAATTTTAAAACATTTCTATAAAGGACATGTCTACTAAGCAATTTGTTAGAGTTTGGGGAAGCTTGAATACTTTCTTCCTTTAGGTTCTAACCAATTTGAGAACTAGACATAGGATCCAGACAGGGATTAACACACACCATCAGCTTTAATACCCAAATGACAGGGCTGCTGGTGGGGGTTGAGGGTAAGGGTGGGGTGGAGGCGGGGCATAGAGCATAGGGCCCACCCTCTCTGGTGAGAGGCAAACATGCAGTTACTTATTTCTTTTCCCGGGAACTGTATTGGTTCACCCAGTTGTTGGCCAAGCAGATGGAGCTCTCCGCCAGTCTGTGTTAGTTTGGGTCCTTCAGGAAACTGACCCAAAGATATTTGCTGGGGAAAACACTTGTAAGGAAAAATGGGAGGGAGCTGCATGAGGCTGGGAGGGAGAGAGGGATAGAGGGTTGGGTGGAAGCATCTCAGACTTCAGTGCTGTAGTGAGGCAAGTTCTCCAGGTGAAGTCGCTCCGCAGACGAGTCCCATGTCTCCCAGGAATGGGCCTGCCTTAGAATTCCTGTCGCACTCACTCATTGGCTACAAGCAGCCCGTGGGAAGTGTGACCTCAGCTTGGTGATGGATGGCTGGATTTCAATGTGAAGCAGCTGGAGCCGTCATTCAATTATCCTCTCTGCAGTAAACTGATCCGAGAGGCGCGTTCTCAAGGCTGCCACGGTGATCAAATGTTCTCCAACACCTTTCCCTGGGGCCACAGAGAACAATCCTCCCCTACCCACCACCTCTAGCAAATAGAAGGAAGAGGCTAATAATCAACTTTTTTTCTGTACACATGAGTTGAAGTTCTCGGAGCCACACACAGCAACTGATCTTGTTTTATAGTTACCATTATATGTGTGTTTGGTGTATGCACATAGAGGCATAGATTTTCATTATGGTACATTCTTGGGATTGATCCAATTAAACAACAATCAACAAGTATGCACGCGCACCTCTGTGCCAGACATTGGAAATGCCACAGAAAAGGATAGGATGTGGGTCCTGCCCTAAAGCTGCAACAAAAATATAACATTCAATGAAAGGAAATTTAAAATACTTCTCAAAGCAGGAGAGAGCTGGGCTTCCTCTGCCGCTCTCCCTTGTGGTGCCCATATTCAAAAAGGTTTTGCTTACGTTTGTTTCAGTTTGTTTATGCATCCCAAAGATGTTATTTGAACAAAGACTGGCAGCCACTACACCCCGAACAAAACAGGAAGCTCCTGGACTAAATTATTGTTAGAGCTTGCTATGCTCTAACATTGTACAAATCTTTGCTGTCAGGCATATTATAATTGTATGATTACAAATTAAAGTTAATCTTGTAAGATGCTTCTCTTGGAAACACAAATCCTTTGAACTAGTGGTAATTTTTGTTAGTTATCAGAAGTTGAATGTACTCTAGTGTTTTCTAGGTTATGTGAAAATTACTTGTTTTCTTCTTCCAACTTTATTCCACACTTCACAACAAACTTTAGGAGATTTTATTGAAACTCTAAGGCTGTCTCAACAACACAAGGGACAGTCACTCTGCTAGAAACACACTTTGACATCATTGTTGCTTTAATTTTTTTTTTTTTTCTGGTTCATGCTCATGGCCCAAAGAGATCAGATGTCTTTTTTGGTGAGTTGGATTTCTTCTCCTTTCTCTTCAGGGTGTTCCTCCCACCTCAGATGAGGAGAAGAAGCCAATTCCAGGAGCAAAGAAACTTCCAGGACCTGCAGTCAATCTATCAGAAATCCAGAATATTAAAAGTGAACTAAAATACGTCCCCAAAGCTGAACAGTAGTTGGAAGAAAAAAGGTGAGTGAGAAACTATCTTCTTTGTCTCAAAAAGGCCTCTGTAAAATGATTTAAGGAAGCCTTCCACTGAAGAAATCTGGAAAATTCTACAAGAGTTCATTAAATACTAGGGGCCTTCAATTTAAGTCAGTATTTCTGGTGCAGTTTTCTGGTAAAGCCAAGTTTTTGGGCCTGTCTTATTCCATCACCAGTCGTAGATCCATTGAGGATGTTAGCCTGCCATTCTCTTTCTGATCATCCTTCTTAGTTGTGGAAGGATGAAATTGGGAGAGGAAAGATGCTTGGGAAAAGGCCTTGAGGTTTTGATCTTGAAGTCCAGGGAAACCTCCCTCACTTCATGCTTCAGTTTCCTCACCCAGGTATCACAAAAAGCAACAAGCTATTCATGAGCTAGAGGATCAGAGGATCAAGGAATTGAACAAGTTTGGGAGTATAAAGAGGCAGAGACCCAGGAGTTCAGTCCTTTAATCAAGTAACCCAGGTTTGTGTAAGGCAGACCAAGAGGATGCCATAATGACTCTAGGGTAGGCTCAAAACTTGCATGCTGCCTTACAAGGCACTGCAAGCAGGGCTTGTGATCTCATTTTCATTTTAATTGCATCTGTTCAATAATGATCCCCTGTGAGGGTTCAGACAACCTCCACCTGGCTCCTGTGGATTGGTACGGGAATTCTGCCAGCAGGGGAGTGTGGAATTGGCCCAAGTCATCACTCTTTCTCCTAGGAGACCCTGGGAGCAAATCTACCCTTTTCCAACATTACTAAGCCCACAATGTACAATCTATTCCATTTCTTAAGCAGAAATTTAAGTCTAGAGGAGAGGAATCTGTATTGGGAACATAAAACAGGTTTTTATCTGGTTAATTGTCCATTCATTCATTTAGTCACTCACCCATTTATTCAATCAATATTTATTGAGTGTTCACTACATGCTGAACACTAGAAACATTTATTCATCACTTACCATGAGCAAGATACTCTGTGAAGAGCATTATGTCCATTTTTTTTAAGCCTCATGATACCCAATTATTGCTCTCATTCTTGAGATGAGTCTTAGAGAGATTGAGTTTCCCCATCTATCATGTATTCTAAAAATGGAGTCTGCCTTCAAAGTTAGTGCTATCACCTACTTGTTAATTGCTTCAATCCCTTCCTCCCACCACACCTTACAGATGGATTGCATGCTTCCTGTTGGTGTTGGGGTGAAATCTTCTGACTGGATGGCAGAGGCAAGCAGTGGGGCAGATAGGGCCCTGCTGTATCTTCTCCTCTAGACAGAATAAGGAACGGAATGTTCTGTGAGACAGTCCAATGCATTGTGGCAGTGTTATTTGTGTCACTTACACTGACTTACTTGGATGTTTGCAAGTTAGTTCTGCCGAAAAGGTTTCTTTATAGTCAGAGAAAGTGAGGAGCCGTTTTGAGTTAAAATAAAAGAACAGTAACTGGTGTTTTCAGCACAGTTACATAAAAGAACACAGGAGTAAGAGTAAAACAGAGTGGATCTATGACCATAGATTGAATCCCAGGAACCTGGATGGGGACAAATTGATGTGAGCAGGAACTAACCTGACACGTGGCTACATGTACTTGTTACTACTGATGACAGAATGGAACAAATTGATGAGTGAGTATCACATTTAGTCCTGCTTGTGTTGCCAAGTTGAGATGAAATATTTCAATGTGGTAGGGATGAAGTTTCAGAACTTCCTTGTTAGAAAGCCTGGAGAGGGGAACTTAACTTTTTGTCATATTGATTATCATCACCCAACCAAGGCTGTTCAGTTGGACACATGAATTTTTAATGCAAACTTTAAAGGTTTTTTACTTTTATGAAATCCATGTTGACCTAAATTTAACCTCAGTTCCAGTTTCAGAAGAAGTTGGTTTTGAAGACTCAGAGGAATGCTGTTTTAAAATGAGCTTAGAGAGGATCTTGCAGTGTTACTCAGCAGTGGGGTTGATTCAGTAGCCTTGGCTGTGTGATTACAGGGAACAAGGAAGAATAACAACTCAATCAAATATTAAAAATGTACCAGAATATCCAGAACACATTTTTGTTACTTTATTTTCTCAGAGAAGACTTTAATGATTCTTCTCTCCTTAACAAATTCTAATGCAAAACCACTCAGAGAGACCTATTTTTCTTTATTCTTACGGTAATGTGAAAATCTAAGTTGTCAGGGTAATCGATCTGAATTCCAAATGAGTACAGTCATTGTTTTAAGCCAAGGAATGATCTTTACTTTTTGTAGCAAGCTGTTTTGGTTTTGACTTATTTTTCTCCTGCAGATACGTCAGAGATTTCGAGACTTCAGTAGTCATAGTCTGTGGTTACAGAAGGAGAACATTTCTTAACATTGATTGATTCAGTGAACTCATAAGCAGTAAATACCCTGGACCAGCCATCACTTAACCCTTCACTGGTTGGATTGATTACTTTTCTTCTTGGGTCACCACTTTGTCACCCACCCTCACCCTGTGTTGTCCAGTTATTTGATCAAACAGATCATTGGTTTGAAGATTGAATAAGTCCATCATGTCCATAGTGTCAAATGCAGTGAAAACCACAAGGCTCAAGGTCCACATAATACTATCACTATTACAGTACTTTAGACATATAAGACAGGTTAGCATCTCATTTTAGCCAAGATGAGTGCCTCCTTTTATGTGGGATTTCAAATTCTTTCCATGCCCTGTGTCATGGATAGAATTGTTAACAGAAATCAATTAAAAACATTACAGAACAAGAATCAGAAAGGCCAGTGACTACCCCGTTGGGCACCAGAAATGGTGGCTTATGGGAAAGGACTTGGGGCCTAGACCCAAACTGGAACCAGACCAGGCAATATAGAGACAGCACATACCAAGTCAAAGCCAAAAGACACAGGAGTGTCCCAAATGGGGCCTCAGTCCAGGCTGGAACTGGCATGGGACAGGGAAGGTAGGATGTTCAGCCATATAAATTTTAGAATCCTCCTGGCTGTGATTTAAGGTAGCCAGATGGTAACTTAAGAAAGTCCAAGAACCAGATGAAGAGGAAGGACCAGTGGCAAAATCTAGAAACCAGGTGTCCTCCAATACTTCCAATCCTGCTTGTTTGCTGCATTATCAGGAATCCCGCAGGGCCACTATCAGAAGCCACTGTCAACTTGTTTGCTTACAGTTGTAGCAGATACCACCTCAGGCTTCGTGGACAAAGGTCTGGGGAACCTGCAGAACTGCTCTGGGCTGGTGTCCAGACTCTGTGTCCATTTCTGTTTGCTCCAGACCCTTAGATCAGAGCATAGGTACTCAGTAAATAACCCTTGAAACTAGCTTCTATACCATGAGCACTTTCTTCTTTCTGTAGTAAAATGTATAGACATAAAACTTGGTCCCTGCTATCAGGATACTTAAGTCTTGATGGAAAGATAAAATACTTCAAAAGGTAGCTAACAATTCAAAAATTAGATAGCAGCTTAATTATTAAAGATATCCCAAGGCTGTTTATGACCCACTAACAACTAGGCAGTAGAGATAATGTTATGACTTTTGAGGGGCTAAGGTATGATTTGGGGTCAGGGATAATTTCAAAGAGGCAGTGGGAATGGAATGGTTTAAACAGAGACTCAGAGATCACCTCTGGACATATGGAGCATTCAGGCTATTGTTAATAATTAGACCAGCCTATGAGACCAAAGAGTTCCTCTAGGCACTATGTCTTAAACTTTTGGAGCATAACAAAATAAAACCCACAGCCCGCCTACACCATCTCGTCTCTTTTTCCAGTGGTAAAAGAATTCAGTGATATCAAAGAATTGAAGAGGAACAAAATAAGTATCAAAATGGTAATGATGCATCAATTATAAGAAAAAGAAATGATTAACAAAGGTAAAACCTAAGAATAATTCTACAATGATGCTGATGAGCACCAAGAAAGTTGCAATTGAAAGCCTTGGGACTGATGAAGCTCTAAAAAGAAATTCTCATTCTGAAGTTGCAGGAATCCCTTCTCTCTGTGTTGGACATTTCAGCATGGCCACATGTGTGGCAGTCAGACTTCATGATTATATACTAAACTAGGGTTTTAGAAAAATGCGAAATTTTAGTGATTCTTGATAGCTCACTTAGCAGGTTTTGGTTGTGTATAGAAGTGAAAATCTATGGAATTAATCCCCATTCGTCATTAGGAACTGAAGAAAGCACTTGCGTTTTTGCATCGAGAAGTCTTTTGAGGTCAACCAGTGGGCCTTGGACCATACTTTGAGAAACATTGCTGTAGGGCAGTAAATGAGAGTGAGTTGGAATGATCTGCAGCTCCTTTTGTACCCATATACAGCCTCATAATATCAAGTTAGTCTCTATCTCATACCCCACATCAGCTAGCCAACCCTGATTTTGGATTTTGTAGATTTGAAAAGAATCTTTATAATGCCCTGTTGGGGGAGGTGTGCCCTTATCTTAGTCTGCTCGGGCCGCTATAACAAAATACCATAGACTGTGTGGCTAAAACAACAGACATTTATTTCTCACCGTTCTGGAGCTAAAAGTCAGAGATGAGGATGTCAGTATTGTTACGTTTTGGTGAGAGTTCTCTTCCTGGCTTGCAGATGGCCATATTCTTGCTGTGTCCTTTGATGTCTCTTCCTCTTCTTATAAGGGTGCTAATTCTATCATGGGGACCCCACACTCATGACCTCATCTAAACCTAATTAACTCTCAAAGGCCCCACCTCCCAATGTTATCACATTGGGGATTAAGGCTTCAACATATGAATATGGGGGAGGGACACAAACATTCAGTCCATAACAGTCCTCTTCCTCCAGCACTCTGCCCCATCCCTAGCATCTTCTGTTTATCCTATCACAAACTTACCGAATCGTAATGTATTTGTTTTCTTGTTTACATCTTTATGATGCTATTGCATAGCTCCTTTAAAGGCTGCAATTCACATGATACATATTAGGTACACAGGGCAAGTCTGGAGGATGTTGCCAGTGCCCTGACCACAGCAAGTGTGGGATCACTTAGAAATGTAGACATTCCAAGTCCTTGTAATCTTAGGGAGCTTACCACTTTAAAAGAAAGACTTGCTTCTCTCACAAAGGTCCATAGTTAACATTGTTGACGAAAATCAGTAATGGGCCCAGAAATTTGACTTTAAATTAATTGATTGTATTCCTCTGGGAAACTAAAAAATTAAGGAAAATGTCAAATTTGTCTCATATTCCTCAAAAGAGGAGAAAGACATGTAAACCAGAAGAAAACTTAGTATCCGAGAATTATTTGCCTTTATTTTTCAAATAATATCTATGTCTAGATAAGACATATTTACCAACCTGTCATCCAGAGAGTTGTCATCTCTGATAGGGGAGAACATAAGGCGCTCATTACTCTTAAATGTTAAGCATTATCATCATTCCTACTGATTCAAGGGCTAATTCTGAGAGTGTTGGCAGGAAGGCAAATTGATATACCCAGACAATTGATAAAAAGTGTATTTAGTATGTAACAACAGACCTCCAAAACACATGAAGCAAAAAGCGACAGAAATGAAGGGAGAAACAGACAATCTAATGATAATAATTGGGGACTTCAATATCCCATTTTCCATAATGGCTAGAATGACTAGACAAAAGATCAACAAGGAAATATAAGACATGGACAACACCATAAACCAACTAGACCTAACACATATAATATATATAATATATATACACACATGTATGTATATATACATACATATACATTATATATGTGTATATATACATATACATTATTTATGTATACATTCTATATGTATATATACATATATACATTCTCTATACATGTATGTGTGTATATATATTATATATAGTGTGTGTAGATATGTATATATACGCACATATAAAACACTGCCCAACAACAGCAGAGTACATACATACACATTCTTCTCAAGTGTACATGAAACATTGTCCAGGATGGACCATATGTTAGGCCATGAAATAAGTCTCAAATTTAAAAGGACTGAAATCATACAAAGTATGTTCTATGACCATAATGGAATGAAATCAGAAATCAGTAACAGAAGGAAGTTTGGGAAATTCACAACTTGTGGAACTTAAACAACATGCTTCTAAATAACCAATGAGTCAAAGAAGAAATCACAAGGTAAATTTAAAACTATTAATACTTTGAGGTGAATGAAAACAAAAATACAGCATACCCAAATTTATAAGATGCAATGAAAGCAGTACTTAGAGGAAAGTTTACAGTTATAAATGACTATATTAAAAAAGAAGATCTCAAATCCCATAACCAACCAATCAAATCAATATTAGCACCTATTCCATATTTGGGAAACATGCCCTTTATCATCTTATAGTAAACTTATGATTAAATTGATACGTGAATGGAAATATCATTCCTTTTAAATGGTAAGGCATAATAAATGTAATAAATCTATTTGTATAAACACTATAACAATGTAACAGAGGCTGGGAAATAAAAAATGATTGCCCAGTAGATCACCATTTTAGCAAAATACTGACTTTGGTATTTCCCCTTCTAGTCTTTTCCTCTGGGTTTACATGTGGGATGCAATACAACCAAGTTGCTAACAATATGTTGATTTGGGGTTGTGAAGACTCGGTCTCATTTCCTTCTGTGCTTGCAACTTTGCACTCTATGTCTCTATTTTCTTGTTTGGTAAAAGCAGAAAATGGCACCTCTCTCAGTCAGTAGCTGTGAAGGGTTAGGGAGATGTATTTTTGAAAGTATCTCCAAGCACAGTACCTGGGATGGGTAATTACTCAGTAAATAGGAACTGGTTCTTATATATTTTCTTACATAGCATCATTTATAGCACTTGTATAGTTTTGTATCTTGCTTTTTCCACTTTAAATTTTATCACAAGATTATTTTTCATGTTGCTTTTCAGCCTTCAGAATTAAGATGATTTATTTCTCATAGTCTTTGACTTATCATGATTTCATAACCTTTTCCTTTTGCCAGAAGACAGAGGACTGATTTATTGTTTTACATAGAACTAGACTTAAAAACACTTCTTCAAATGTCTTCTGTGTGGTCTGTGGAAATTTTTTGTCCTTATTTTTGAAATGTTCCCTGCTTTGACCCAATTACAGAGCTCTATTCACTTTCTCTGAAGGAAATGGTTTTATGCTGAAATTTTTCATTCTCTAGTGAAGTCACATTTCTTTTGATTTGTGATGCTCTTTTTAAATTTTTCCTGATCTTCACTTGCTTGGATAAAGACAGGTTCTGCAGTGATTCTGAACTGTATCAAGGTCTTGTTCATTTGTTTTCCTGGCTGGCAAAACTCTTGTTTTAGACTCTGGTTACAGCCTGTGTAAAGGTGGGTGTAAAGGACTCTTGAGAGTGAACGCAAGAAGACTTTGAGTTGATTGTTGCAGTTGCTTTAAGAGCCTCTCAACAGTAAACACACAGAAACTACCAGTGTAGTTTCTGTTAAAACAGAGGTTTGGAGGGTCTAGTGTGTGAATTATCAGGAAGAAGTTGGAATTGGTGCGAGAGCTTTTAGGAAGTAGACGTGAGACCAGAGAAACACATTTGCTTCAGCCAGCTTGGTGGAAAGCAGAGGTGACTCAGAACCCAATTCTGTTGATCTTCCTATACTGGCACACACATTTCCATGGGCCAAAAGACAGTTACACCTGGCACCTGTTCTACTCTCAATGTAATGGAACTCATTACTCTATCTAATTTGTTCTCAGTGGGGGGAGGGTGTGGATTTTTCCTCCCAGGGGACATTTAGCAATGTCTGCATACAGTTTGAATTGTCACAACTAGGGGTGGGCTGCTACTGTCCTCTAGTGAGGAGAGGCCAGGTATGCTATTAAACATCCCACAATGCCAAGGATGGCCTCCTACAACAAAGAATGATCCAGCCTCAAATGTCAGTACTGCTGAGAGTGAGTAACCCTGATTTATCTGCTTGAAAGGTTGATGTCAGGTCCATCTTGCTGCGGACTTTTCTTTCCAAGCAACCAATGCATTGCATTTCACAGAAATTAAGACAGTAATAAAAAGAGTAAAGTAATTAATTGCCCAATATTTATAATCTCTTCACAGTAATCAAGACTTAGGAATGAAGCACTCTTAAATATGATTCTTGTCAATTGGCAGATTAAACATATTTATGGTATATGGTCTATGTGGAATTGCCTCTAACCCAACTATTTTTATAGGTTATCTTTTCATCTCAAATGTATCAGAAAGCAGTAGGTTATCTCAGCAGTTCATGAAGTCTTCTAAAGTATTAATGTGAAGCATTAGTAGTCACCAGCATCAATATCAATGTCATCATTTTGATTGTCTTCATGAGCATTCCCATTTATTATATGCTTGTGATATGCCTGGTACCATATCTTGTACCTCACATGCATTATTTCATTCATTCCTTGGGCTGATTGCATGAGGTGTGTACTACAATGCTCATTTTATTTACGGGAGAGTGAAGGCTAAGAAAGTTTATGCAACTTGACCAAGGTCACCCAGATTGTAAGTCACAGAGGTGAGGTGCAAACCATCATCTGTCACACTAAACAGCCAGTCCTTTTAATCACTATCACCCACTGCATTCTTTAAAAATGTTCTTTTAGTTACAGTCTTTGCAAATAATATTTCACCATGTTGGGTCAGAGCAAAGCAAGCAAAGGCTAAAGAGATTACAGAAACTGTCACTGTCACAAAGATGAGCACTGCAACACAACCCTGGCATGTTGGTTGGTGGGTTCCTTTGTTTGCTCATTTGTTTATTCATTCACATATTCATTCTTTTAGTTAGTCAGCATTTACTAAACACAAAAGATGCACCAGGTGCTGAGTATATCAGGCATTAGGGATTCAAATATGCCAGAGCATCTACCCTAGTTCACAGTTTAA